ACAGGACAAAACTGAGATGAAATGGTTTGATACAGGAATGTAATCCTAACAGATTACAGTGTATTGTGTGTGTGTCATATTTTTACTTTTTTTGAATCTCCCGCCGGTTCCGCCCTCCTGCTCGCAGGGAAGGAAACCCAGAAGACGGATGCCGGCATTGGCTGGAGGACACAGTGGAAGGACATCGGGGGATCGCAGGACAAGGTAAATTACACGACAGTATAATCCCAAGTGTGGCTGGGGTTACCGCTTTTGGTATTGAATATTAACCCCGAGCTACACTTGGGATTACTGCCAGGGAGGTTAATGAAGACAAAAACTGAGATCTCAATTGCCATTAACATTTTGAGCCAGGAGGAAAGGGGTCTCTTAAAATCAAACCAAAACTATTAAATGAAACTTCTCCCGTCACTTTTTCATGTTGCACACCACACTTCATCAAGGCATTGTATCAGTGAAAAAGCATTATATCATTTGAAAAATTTATTTATAGTTGAATTTTCCCACAATAAAGATCACTGGACTGACAGTGTCCGGTTTTTCCCTTTTTTTTTTCTTTTGGATTTGCTGGAACTATTTCCTCCATGACAGCCTACTTATGTGTCTCTCTAATTTCACCATCAATCTTGTGTAAACCCAGCACAACATACTCATCATCAGCAGCAGCCACCCAAAGCAAAGTGAAGCACCGACAGCACATTACAGATATATATATAATATATACTTTAATATTTAGCCACAACTCCGGTTCAGTTTGGATGGCAGCAGGGAGGGAAGAGCCGTTGCAATTTCTTTATTCACAGCAGGAAAGGGGAGGGATTAAAAAAAAAAAAAAAAAAAGAAAAGACCCTGAAAAATCCTTAAATTCAAGCCAGGCTGGCGGAAGCTCCCTGCTTCGCACTTCCATAATCCCGAAAACCTCCCTCCCATGCACATCAGTAGGATGTGTTCCAGAGCAATGCCCACGTATCCTGCTTGGGGCTGCTCTCTCGGGTATCCAATCTCTGGCATGTTGAGCAGCTGGCGGCCACGTCACACCCTGTCCCCCTCAGATGTGGGGGGTGAGAGGTGCTACTGTAAAACCAGCCCAACCTGTAAACGGGATAAAAAGAGACTGATTAAAGCTGAAGGTTGTCTCTGTGGGAGCTTTCATTATTAAATGCAGTATAAATACATGGCAATTATCTTCCCTATCATTGGGGACAGCGATCTGACATTCGTCCCTCTTCTGTGTTAGAAATTCTCTGTTGGTGGTGCCATCTTTCTATTTTTTTTTTCCTTTTAAGCTCAAGTCCACCGAAGTTTCATTTGGTACATACTAGAGAATTAAACCACCAGAAAAGTCTTGCATCTTTCAAAGACTGTATTTGCTAAGAAGCCTGCGCCAATTTCCTGACTGCACACCTGCTGTACCGATTATGCGAGACTTCCGCTGTCCCTGCAGGATCTCCTTTATTAAAGGGGAATGTAACAGGGGAAGCTGTAACACATAGAAGGTGGACAGGAACAGTGTCGGAAATTGTGTCAAGGAGTTGTCAAGGTTGCAGTATCCAAACTGCACAATAAGCCAGTTGCTAACTCAGCCTTACAGGCTCTACCTATAATGGTCACTTTTGGCTGGGCTGACCCTTTCACAGCAAACAGATTTTCTATCAATTCTTTCCTTTCTCTTGTAGAGCATCACTTGCCTCCTAACAGATACTGTACTTCACAAGGTAGAAAACACCAAATTATGACACTAGACTGCCCTACCACCCAAGGAAGACACTGCTGCGAATTTCAAAGGGCCTTAGAGAAAGATCCACACAATCCTGCTTTCCTTTTTGCGACAAGGACAACTACAGTTGCAAGAAAAAGTATGTGAACCCCTTGGGATTACGTGGAGTTTTGCATGAATTGGGCATAAAATGTGCTCTGAACGTCATCTAAGTAACAACAATAGAAGAACACAGTCTGCGGAACATAATACTACACAAACGTTAGATGTTGCCATGGTTTAATTGCACATAACATGTAAACATTCACAGTGCAGGGAGGAAAAAGTATGTGAACCTTTGGACTTAATAACTGGTTTACTCTCCTTTGGCAGCAATAACCTCAACCAAACGTTTCCTGTAGTTGCAGATCAGACCTGCACAACGATCTGGAGTCATTTTGGACCACTCCTCTTCACAAAACTGTTTCAGTGTAGCAATATTCTTGGGATGTCTGGTGTGAATCGCTCTCTTAAGGTCATGCCACAGCATTTCAATCAGGTTGAGGTCAGGACTCTGACTGGGCCACAGAAGGCGTATTCTGTGCTGTTGCAGCCATTGTTTTGTTGAATTACTTGTATGCTTTGGGTCATTTTCCTGTGGCATCACCCATCCTCTGCGGAGCTTCAGTTGGTGGACAGATGGTCCTACGTTTTCCTGCAAAATGCCTTGATAAACTCTGGAATTAATTTTCCCATCAATGACAACAATCCATCCAGGCCCTGAGGCAGCAAAGCAGCCCCAAACCATGATGCTCCCTCCGCCATGTTTTACAGTGGGGATGAGGTTTTGATGTTGGTGTGCTGTGCCTTTTTTTCTCCACACATAGTGTTGTGTGTTCTTCCCAAACAACTCAATCTTGGTTTCATCTGTCCACAGTATATTTTGCCAGTAGTGCTGTGGAACATCCAGGTGCTCTTTAGCAAACTTCAAACGTGCTGCAATATGCTTTTTGGACAGCAATGGCTTCCTCCGTGGTGTCCTCCCATGTACTCCATTCTCGTTTAATGGTTTGCTTATTGTAGATTTGTCAACAAAAAATGTTAGCATGTGCCAGAGATTTCTGTAGGTCCTTAGCTGACACTCTGGGATTCTTCATTACCTCATGAAGCATTCTGCGCTGTGCTCTTGCAGTCATTTTACAGGACGACCACGCCTAGGGAGAGTAGCAACAGTGCTAAACTTTCTCCATTTGTAGACAGTCTGTCTTACCGTGGACACATGAACATCAAGGCTTTTGGAGATACTTTTGTAACCCTTTCCAGCTTCACGCAAGTCAACAATTCTTGATTGTAGGTCTTCTGAGAGCTCTTTTCTGCGAGGCATGGTTCACATCAGACAGTGCTTCTTGAAACCAGTAAACCCAAAACAGGTGTGTGTTTTTTAAGGGCAGGACAGCTGTCAGCAACACATCCAATATCATCACACTGATTGGAGTCAAGGTTGGCTCACTCCTGGCTCCAATTAGCTCTGGGAGAAGTCATTAAGCTAGGGCCTCACATACTTTTTCCTCCATGCACTGTGAATGTTTACATGTTATGTGAAATTAAACCATGGCAACATCTAATGTTTGTGTAGTATTATGTTCAGCAGACTGTGTTCTTCTATTGTTGTGACTTAGATGACGTTCAGAGCACATTTTATGCCCAATTCATGCAAAACTCCACGTAATCCCAAGGGGTTCACATACTTTTTCTTGCAACTGTATGCCATCATATGCCATCAGCTTTTATAAAATGCTTTTTAAGAACCCTTTAGTTGGCACTACCCGATATATAAATGTATGAGGGATTTACAGAAGTAAATTTCTGTATATGTGGTAAGGGGAAGGGAAGAGGTTTTACCTTGAAGCCCCAAGATTACAGATACCGTATATACTCGAGTATAAGCCGACCCGAATATAAGCCAAGGTACCTAATTTTACCACAAAAAACTGGGAAAAACTATTGACTCGAGTATAAGCCGAGGGGGAGGAATAGTGCCCCATCGTTGGTGTCAGTGGGGGGAGGAATAGTGCCCCATCGTTGGTGTCAGTGGGGGGAGGAATAGTGCCCCATCGTTGGTGTCAGTGGGGGGAGGAATAGTGCCCCATCGTTGGTGTCAGTGGGGGGAGGAATAGTGCCCCATCGTTGGTGTCAGTGGGGGGAGGAATAGTGCCCCATCGTTGGTGTCAGTGGGGGGAGGAATAGTGCCCCATCGTTGGTGTCAGTGGGGGGAGGAATAGTGCCCCATCGTTGGTGTCAGTGGGGGGAGGAATAGTGCCCCATCGTTGGTGTCAGTGGGGGGAGGAATAGTGCCCCATCGTTGGTGTCAGTGGGGGGAGGAATAGTGCCCCATCGTTGGTGTCAGTGGGGGGAGGAATAGTGCCCCATCGTTGGTGTCAGTGGGGGGAGGAATAGTGCCCCATCGTTGGTGTTAGTGGGGGGGAGGAATAGTGCCCCATCATTGGTGTCAGTGGGGGGAGGAATAGTGCCCCATCGTTGGTGACCCCTGCTCCAGCCTGGGCTCGCTCGCTCCCTCTCCCATGGTACACACTTACCGGTCAGATGTCTTCCTTCTCCGGCCGCTCTCCTCCTCTTCACTCGCTCGATCTTCGCGGTGCCGCTCGGCTCCTCCTCTCCAAGCTCCACCTCCTCGCCGGTGATTGGCCGCCGGAACTGTAGCTCAGGAGAGGCACACAGGCGCCCAATCACCGGCGAGGAGGTGGAGCTTGGAGAGGAGGAGCCCAGCGGCACCGCGAAGATCGAGCGAGTGAAGAGGAGGAGAGCGGCCAGAGAAGGAAGACATCTGACCGGTAAGTGTGTACCATGGGAGAGGGAGGGAGCGGCGAGGATTGATCCCGGGGGTGTGTCCAGATGACAGGGACGGCATGTCATTTGCAGACGTTGACTCGAGTATAAGCCGAGGGGGCCGTTTTTCAGCACAAAAAATGTGCTGAAAAACTCGGCTTATACTCGAGTATATACGGTAACCAAAGCCTTGTGTTTATCCCTTTTTAGTCCTGGATCTACTCAGGTTATACTTTATGGTTTCTTTTTCTCAGTGAAAATGCTGCTTTCAGCTGCACTTGCAGTGCTCTACTATGCCACACTCATCACAAATGTCCTCACAAAGACTTGTATAGCAGAGGAAGAGTGGGCTATGCAAGACGAATTCTAAACTATTGAGCGTACTGTGGCTAACTTTGGTGCCTATTAGACTGCACATTCACACAGACTCCCCCTGCTCCCAAATAAGAGCTTAAATTCAGATTAGTATCAGTTTCTCCAGAAAGGTTTTGTTTTCCATGAGGTCTAGGGCATTAAAGACATCGAATCCTTTCTGCAGATAAAACAAGTAAAACACAGTTTACATGAAGTGCAAGACCCCTGTTTGTGTCCCATTACCACCCACTTAAATCAGGCCGATGGGCTTCTATGTGACTTGGCTTTTCCAGTCAGATCCAAATAAAATACAACTCCATATTTAGGGTGGATTAGACTTGCATGCCATGCCTGGCTCAGCTTAAAGGGAGAGATCTCGCCCATTCTCAGGAAAACCAGGCTGAGCACATCTTTTCAGCCAAGCTTGTAGAAGAAACTTTCCTATAGAGAAATGACTAGAGAGCTTATGCAGAGATATGCCATCTGTCCTTGGAGCGAGGAGTCCTGCTCTGATATATTTTAGCACAATCTCAGGGTCAAAGAACTGGCAATTTTACTACAGCTACCCTGTGTTTTGGTAATCAGTCACCTATCTTCTACACCAGGGGTCTCCAAAACTTTTCAAACAAAAGGGCCAATTTACTGTCCTTCAGATTTTAGGGGGGCCGGATTGTGGCCAGTGGGCTAGAAAATGTTCCGGGTCCAGCATAATTGAGAACAATGCATAAGCAGTGGCGCAGGATGACCTCGGCCTTCGGTCATTTAGGACTGAAGGCCATTCTGTACTTGCACTGTTGCCCACATGCCGTTTAGGTTTTCATCTTACCCCTGGTCCTGAATTTTCTAAGTAACGGCACACATGGCCATAAGCATGTTAAATGTTTTACATGTGTACAATATGCTCCAAATCTGCTGCATTCAGATCTGTTTAAAAAAAAAAAAAAAAAAAAAGACAAAACAAAAAAAAAAAAACCTGGTACAGATCACAAAGCGGCATATTTTACGCTTGTGTGAATGAACCAATAAAAAGGACCAGGTCACAAATCTCCAAATTGAATAAAGGAGGTTACCTAGAAAGGAGGTAAAGCCTCACCTTTCCATCACGGTGTCATTGTATAGGAATTATATCCTCAATCCTACTGGAAAACTGACACTTCCAGGAAAATCAGTCTCCTACGTCGCTTTACACCTACCTGTAACCAGCACTCGTTCTACCCCATAAACCCCTACACCAAGCACAAAGCAAATGTTGCATTAGAACACTAAAAGGTACTCACAGATTTTGCCAGGATGAGGGCATCATTCATGAGGTCGACAAGAGGCGTTTTGGTGTGCACATTGTAGAAGGAGTACGCAGCCTTTAGGCTCTTGTGTGTGGGGTGGTTCATGATGGTTGAGGGGAGCGTGTGGAAGCTCAGGAAGTCTGTTAGCTCTCCGTCTGGAGACTAGAGATAAGAACATTAGTCAATTTGTGGTAAAACCATTCTCGCAACACCAATGCCCGTACCTCCGGGACTTAGAAAACATTAAAAGAGACGTTTGGGCGTTTTTTTTTTTTTTTTTTTTTTAAATCATACCTAGGTGGATGCAGCATCCATCTGATGCTGGATCTGTCCCCCACCAGCTCTAAGGCTGGGAACTGAGCAATCAGACACAGCTGATCGCTCATTTCTCCATCGCTCTTAGAGAGTGGTGACGGTCTGTCACTGCTGTCTGCTCTGCGCTTCCACCCAGCGCTTACTGGAGTGTCAGACTGGTGAGGGAACTAGAGCGGCTGGCTCAGGCTCTCATCAGCTCGCTGAGAGGCTGAGCCAGGTGCCGGTCCAGGCTCCTGGGTAGATCCCAACCATATGGTTACTATCTTTCCCCAGCCTGGACCGGCTGAGAGATGTCAACTGACAGCAGACTTTAGCCCGCTGTCGGCTAAAACCAGGTCACAGAAGTGCAGAACGAACTGCACTCCTATGATCCAGTACAGGCAAACGAGCTTTGGCTGTACTTCTCCTTTAATACACCCTCAGGGTCACCAGTACTAAATGTAAAATACAAGAAGTGCACTGAACTAGTAGCCAAAATAAAACGTTTTGTATTGTATAAGGATAGGGAAGAATCAGAACCCCTGCCAGGTTTTTATTGCTGTCTGTGTCCCAGCTGGGGAGATTTGACCTCTCCATTTGTCCTAGTGACCACTGTCAGCAAGAATGAAAGTGAAGGAACATCTGAAGTTTTACAGGAACAGGAGGCAGGGGAAATCTTCTAATGAGGACACATGAGCTAGTAATAACTGTAAGAGTGGGCTTTCCCTTTTCAGAGATTTTCTTTTTATAGTAGAAAAGAGACAAAAGTGGAAAAAAAAAAAAAAAAAAAACTTCTTAAAAAGAGGTACTTTAGGCACCAAAATAAAAATGGGCAGATAGGCGGGATTTTTAGTGCAGAAGAGAAATGACTTGTCTCTACATTAAAAGCTTCTTACCTGCCTGTCTGCCCCTGTACAGCAAGTTGGACACAAATTCAGTAATGCCAAATCTAATGGAACACCTGCGCATGCGCGCGAGTGACATTTCTGACCAGCTAATGACAGCGGCCAGCGACTGAAACCCGGAAGCTGGCCGCTGGAATAGGTCAGCGGTGAGTTATGAGAATGGCACATTGCTGGATTCAAGGGGAGTATAATGCCGCTTTAATTTTCTACACTATCCAAAACTAAAAAGGGAAGTTTGGCTTTAAAATTAACTACAGCATAGAGAAAGTGAACATACAGCTATAGAATATCAGGATATTGTAATAAAAACAGGATACAACTAATAAAGAAAATAAAATGCTAGATGTAGTGCCAGCTCTTCCTTACCTCCACCACGAAGGTATCTATGATGTTCTCTTGGGGCAGAAGCCAATGTTTCACCTCTTCTTCACTCATGAACGGGGCCAGGTTGAACTGAGACAAGTACTGAGTCAGGAGCCGGTGTACAGCGGGGACATGATGTAGCTCCATTGGTTTCATGCCTTGGGTTTTAGCAGTCTGCAGAGAAACACACCAATTAATTTTTTTACTACACTGGCAAAACAATCTTCCTCCACCCCGACTTTGCATTTTAGCATCTGCTAGTAAAAGGGAATATACAATTCTCTATTCAGCATAGTAACATGATTTTATATTCCCAGAGAGAATCCCAGACAATGACTTCATCTGCACAGACTGGAGGAAAGAAAGTACATTTGATGCCCCTGGCAACCTGGTTCTACCTGTTATTAACCTTGTGTGGTTCCAAAAAAACAAAACAAAAAAAAAAAAAACAAAAAAAAACAAAAAACACACACACAAAAAAACAAACAAACAAACACACACAACAAAGCAAACAAAAAAACACAAAAAAAAAAAACCGCAAGCACAAAAAAAAAACAAAACAAACAAAAAACACACACACAAACAAAACACACACACACACACAAAAAAAAAAAACCGCACGCACACAAGAAAAAAAAATAAAAAAAAACAAACGCTCACACACACACAAACAAAAAAACAAAAACAAAACAAAAAACACACACACACACACACACACGCACACACAGGTAATGAGGACACTAAACAAATCCGATGTCATTTCTTTTCTCATTCAAGTAATAAAAAAGTAAATACACTTTCAGAATTCAACGTTTCCATGCAGATTTATCCAATAGTTGAAAAGTAAACTGCCAGTCCATCAACACTCCCCATATATATCAGGGCAACCCTACGAAAGAACCTGCATCACCAACCAGGAGGCCTTAGTGCCTCTATAGATAGAACGCATAGCCAGGTCATCCTCACAACCCATTCTATACAAAGGGGACACAATGCACCAAGACACGCCTGTGGCAGTACTGTAAGAGGTAACAAGAGTATAATTACAACTGAAATCATTATGCTGCATTAGACTGCCGTCAGTCACCTGGGCACAGGGGGAACTCACCTCCGGAAGCCGGTACAGTTTCATAGTCCTCTGCATGGTCATGTTCCGGCTAAGATGAGAGAATTTCACCTCTATCAGTTTCCGAGGGTTTAGTGACCTATGCCAGTACCTGCCCGACAGACAAGAGAGATGGCGCTTACTAGCAGAAGAGGTTGTTACAGAGATGCTGAGGCAAAAGATTCATTTTTCACTGTAATCTGGATAAAGTGTGTGGAGCCGATGCTGACAATTATCACTCTACAGAGCTGTATGCTTGTAAGCAGACTATAAAAAGAACTCCACTAGGCACCTGCATGTGGCTACTGGTTTAGGCAGCACAACACCTGCGGTATACACCGCCTGGAAGATCCCCTCCATGTGAACTCTACGTGTGATCTCACGGATCAGGACTGGTGCGACCCGCTTGGCACGCATCTTCTTGTGTACACAGAGGAAATTGATCTCTACCATCTTCTTGGTGCTGGTTTGAGAAAGTAAAAAGAACAGAAATTAGTTACAGGCAACTGAACTATGAAAACCTCATCTTTGCCCATTAGGATGCAGTGTTCCATATTAAAAAACAAACACTTTCCAAATTATTATTATACAGGACTTATATAACGCCAACAGTTTGCTCAGCACTTTACAATATAACGACAATACAGCAACAATACAAGAGGGTTAGGAGGGCCCTGATCCTTGGAGCTTACAATCTAATGTGTATTTCACTGAGCAAAAAGTACATCGTTTATCTAGGAAGTTTATTTGCATCGCAGTCCTGCACCTATTGAGACTGGCTGCAAGACACCCCTTCAAAACAGGCTGTATGAGCAGTAAGGCTGCAACGAATGATTATTTTCATATTCGAATAGTTGCCCGATTATTTTTTCAATTAATTGGATAAAAACCTCAAAAAAAAGTTTGATGTATAATTTAGTTAAAAGGATAAAGTTCACCTTTCATAACATGTTACATGTAGCATGTTATGAATGGACCGGACCCTGCTCCTCCCCACTTTGACAGCTAGCAGGTGATCTCCTCCCACTAGCTGTCAAAAAGTAAAAAAAAACAAAAAACAAAAAAAGAAACAAAAACAAAAAAAAAAAAACAAAAACACACGCGGCCGTGTGGGGCTCCACCCGCCTAACCATGTCCATCATTCACAGAATTCTGTAATTAAGAAAATTACAACAGCTTTATGCAGGCCATAGGCGGTTCGTTTACGGCCGATTTTTCGTCTGAAAAACAAAACCTCGGTCGTTCTGTTGGCTACCAATGATTGCAAAAATCGCCCATTTTTCACACATTTTCCAGCATGACCGATAAAAGAAAATGAGGAGGAACCGTGAAAATCGGCCGATGCCATTGCCCCACTAACAGTGCAAAAATCGGCCGATTATTCTTTCGGACGAAAAAAAACAGATGATAACCGAACAGTCTATGGCCTGCATTAGTGACGGTCGGCTTGCAGTTCTCAATGAACTACCAGTTTACTAGTTCATTGATTTTTTTTTTCCCCATCAGAGTGTATCGGCGTGCTCATATGAGATGTATGGGCAAGCAGATATACTGACAGAACTGCAGAAGTCCTGCATGGCCCCAGCGATCTGCTGAAAAAAGCAAACCTGCAAAAAATGTGCATTTATTATTTTCTGCTAAAAGGTGAACTTAATATATGAAAAGATTAACAAAAAATACAATTTATTCTTGAACATCTATATGTAGTGGTAAATATAAATAACCAGCTATATGGTCAGGGAACACAATATCTAATCCATTCTCAGAATAACAGACAGAGATACAATATATACAATCAGAGGTTGAATCTGGTACATATCAGACTCAAAAAGAAAATTTTTTTTTTTTTAAAAAAATACATTTTTTAAAAGTCCTAAAATGCTGTTTTGCAGATTTTCTGACAGGATTGTAATATAATATTATGCATGACATACTCCCTGGTCATAGGCAGGTAGCTTGATACAAGCTACCTGCACCTGCTGTCGTTTATGCTGGCCATACACACACAAAATGTTTCATTTGAAAAAGGTTTCCTTTAAGAAGGTTTGTTTCGATTTTCTAATCATTAGTGGGGTCAAATCAGAGCGTTTGCGGCCAAAGTGATAAGAAAATACGAAGGAGCAGAATAAAAAACTCTGCTCGATCGAACGAATGTTCGGACAGTATATTGGCTCCCACTGCTGTCAATCAAATTCGAGTTAAATGGAGTTAGGAGCACCAGCAGGTACCTCCAGAAGAGGAGGGTCGAGCACTGTGCAAGATCAGGTATGACATGTTTATTTTTTCCATTAAAAAATAAAAATCAAAGCTTTACAATCACTTTAAGCCCAATCCTCAATTTTTTTACATTTAAAATGGAGTGACAAAGAGTTGCAGCCACTGTGTCCCATTTAGGAAGAGGACTTCCCATTTGATAGAGGTCAGACACAGCAGAACATGAGAAGAAATATTACAAACAAGCAAATATACTGTAGATCAGGGCTTGAAATTTCCACTCGCTTGCTCATCAATGGCGAGTGGAAATTATGGTGGGGGCGAGTGTGTCCACCAAGGCCGTCTTGCTGAGCAGGCTCAGAGCTCAGGCTGGATCTGTCATTGGCACTGGGAGCCGTCAGACTGCTCAATAGCTGAGTGCAGTGAAAGCAAAGCAAGGAGTGTGTACTGTGCTCTCTGCCTCCCCCTAGAGTGCAGTACCCGGCTGTGTGAGTGACTAACGAAGTACTGCAACTTTTTATGATGGGGGGGGGGGTGATGTGTGTGTGTGTACGTGTACATGTGTGCGCATGTGTGTGTCTGTGTATGCATGTACATGTGTCTATCTGTACATGTGTCTGAGTGTGTGTGCATGTGTACGTACATGTGTGTGTGTACAGGTGTGTATGTATGTATATGTGGGTGTGTGTGTGTGTATGTCTGTGTATGTACATGTATCTGTGTGTATGCATGTGTCTGTGTGTGTGTACATGTGCCTCTGTGCGTGTATGTACATGTCTGTGTGTGTGTACATGTGTGTCTCTGTGCGTGTGTGTATGTACATGTCTGTGTGTGTGTACATGTGCCTCTGTGCGTGTATGTACATGTCTGTGTGTGTGTACAGGTGTCTCTGTGCGTGTGTGTGTAGGTACATGTCTGTGTGTGTGTGTATGTACATGTCTGTGTGTGTGTGTGTGTGTGTGTGTGTACAGGTGTCTCTGTGCGTGTGTGTATGTACATGTCTGTGTGTGTGTACAGGTGTCTCTGTGCGTGTGTGTGTATGTACATGTCTGTGTGTGTGTGTACAGGTGTCTCTGTGCGTGTGTGTATGTACATGTCTGTGTGTGTGTACAGGTGTCTCTGCTTGTGTGCGTTTGTTGGTGGCGAGTAACTCTTAAGGCCTGGCTAGTAGCTCAGGACTTGAAATTTTAAGCCCTGCTGTAGATGCATTGATTTTACTTTTAACATCACATGTTTTGACTGGATATGGCCCTGAAATGCAGGTTGACATGTTGGGAAAATAGCTGCAGACCAATCTGGTACAAACAAATAACTCTTCTACGCAATGAACAGAAAAATCCACTCCTGGTGATAAAATACTTACAGATCATAGATTTTCATGTTAGCTGGAATGGCGCTGATAAACCCCACTAGCTTCTTGCTATTGATGACCCTCACTCCACAGTGCCACTGTGGCAGCCATCCGGGAGGTCTCAGTGCCCTAGGAAAGAAGACACAGCAGCCTCATCTTTAGAGACGGTTCCTTACGGCAGAAGACTATACAAAAGTTACAATCTGCTAAGCTCACCATAACAGGAACTCCGGCGAGTAGTCAAAGCGGAACATGTTATCATCATCTTCTACATAGTTTTCATTTAGCAAAGTGTACAGCTCCTTTAGCTGCAGATAATAAGAAGATTATAGTTAACAACTTATGAAGAGATAGGCTATGTGCGGTAATACTGAGCAGAGACAGATTGTTGGGAGATTACAGAAGAATTCTGCTAAGCACTTTTTGTATCTAAAAAAACGTGCCAGCAAAATTCCATTTAAGGGAAAAAAAAAAAAAAGAAAAAAAGGAAGAAGGAGCTTCTAAAAGCTTAAAAAAACAAATCTGGGCTTTGCCCATGTGGCACAAAACAGGTTCGCTTTAACCAGTTCCGTGCCGCCCTATAGCACAAATACTGTTACAGGGCGCGCGCAAAATCACATACATACACATAAAAAAAAAAAATCACACACAAACACACACACACACTTTGTCCAGGTACGGGGGCGCACGCCCCCCTACCCATGCCGCCATTCGCAGCCTTGGCTGTCAATCACCGGGTCCTGGCCAGTGATTTCTCACCGCTACCCGATGATCGCCAAGTATCTCCGACGGGGCAGAGACCTGTGTATAAACAACACAGATTTCTCCCGTCAGCTCCTGCACACTGCTTTGTGTGGCTCTGCAAAGCAGAGCCACACAAAGCAGTGTGCTTATAGTGAAACAGCATACAGTTAACGCTTTGATCGCCCCACATGTTAACCCCTTCCTGTCCAGTGCCATTAGTACAGTGTCAGTGCTTTTTTATTAGCACTGATCCCTGTATTGGTGTCACTGGGGATGTCAGCGACACCAAGTCAGTTCCCTCCCAGTGTCTGAAGGCCCACCACAGTCCCGCTATAAGTCGATGATCGCCACCATTACTAGTGAGAAAAAAAAAAATCCCAGTATATATACCGCCATTTGTAAACACTATAACTATCACGTAAACCAATTAATTTACAGGTATTGGTTTTTTTTTTTTTGTTAGCAAAGACATGGAGCAGAATACATTTTGGCCTAAATTTATGATGAAATTAGATTTTTTTAATTTTCTTACTGGACATATTTAAAATTTTTTAATTTAAAATTTTCGGTCTTTGTTTATAGCGCAAAAAAAAAATAAAAAAAAAACGTGCAGGAAATCAAATAACACCAAAAGAAAGCTCTATTTGTGCGTGTGTGTGGGGGGGGGGGGGGAAAGGACCTAAATTTAATTTGGGTGCAGCGTTGCATGACCGCGCAATTGTCAGTTAAAGTAACGTAGAGCCATATCGCAAAAAAAAATGGCCTTGTCAGGTTCTAGGGAGGGGGGGGGGGGGGGGGGGGCGTTAAGCCCTCGGGAGGGCAAGTTGTTAATGTACCCATCTTAAAAGTGAAATTTTTATATTTAAAAATAAAAAATCATGTCACTTACCTGCTCTGTGCATGGTTTTGCACACAGCATGCCTCAATCCTCTTCTTATAGGGTCCCCGGCTGGCGTTCCTGGCCCCTCCCTCCTGCTGAGGGCTCCCACTTGCTATAGGGGCACTCAAGTGGGCTCGATCCCAAGCCCTGTCTCTGTGTCCATAGACACACACATTAACAGCAATGATCAGCCCTACCCCTGCTCCTGCGTCACTGGCTGTGATTGACAGCAGGAGGAACCAATGGCTCCTGATACAGTCCCTAAGCCAATGAGAAAGCAGAGAGCCAAGAGAGCCGCTGCTCTCATGCAAATCACTGGATCGAGATCGGGCTTAGGTAAGGGAACCTGCACACTGAAGGTTTTTTTTTTTACCTGCATCCATAAAACCTTCAGGCTTTAAAACCACTTTAAGCAGTTTATACTTTCCACCTTTTTAATCCCCTGCCACATGGCTTCGCACTGGGAACCAAAGGAAATACTCAGCGCTCTTTGGTATGGAGCACCATTGAAATAAACCTGTTTTTCCCCTGCATAGCCAAAGAATAGATTCACTTGCTTTGTAGAGCTTTTATACGAGTTTGTAGTTGTGGAGAGGTTCTGTTTGTTCCTGTATATGGTTTTGAACAGTTCTTATTGTGAGAATGTCAGCAGTTGTAATCTCTTCATATCTACTAAAAAGGTTTTTTCGGGTTCCTATTGAAATGTTTTTACTACTTTCTGTCCTGACAGAAGCCCTAATGCTGCATTTACACGCTATCTTATAGATCAGGGGTCTCCAAACTTTCTAAACAAAAAGGGACAGTTCATTGTCCTTCAGACTTAGGGGAGCCAGACTGTAGCCAGTGGGAGTGGAAATTTTCCTGGCATCAGTGGGATTAAACATCACCGCATTTGGTGTCACTGGGGGGAAATGGAGCCCCATCCTTGGCGTCACTGGGGGAAATGGAGCCCCATCCTTGGCGTCACTGGGGGGAAATGGAGCCCCATCCTTGGCGTCACTGGGGGGAAATGGAGCCCCATCCTTGGCGTCACTGGGGGGAAATGGGCGCACCAGCGTTGGCGTCACTGGGGGTGAAATGGCGCACCAGCGTTGGCGTCACTGGGGTGAAATGGCGCACCAGCGTTGGCGTCACTGGGGGGGAAATGGCGCACCAGCGTTGGCGTCACTGGGGGGGAAATGGCGCACCAGCGTTGGCGTCACACTGGGGGGGGAAAATGGCGCACCAGCGTTTGGGGCGTCACTCGGGGGGGGGGAAATGGCGCACCAGCGTTGGGTCACTGGGGGGGAAATGGCGCACCAGCGTTGGCGTCACTGGGGGGGAAATGGCGCACCAGCGTTGGCGTCACTGGGGGGGAAATGGCGCACCAGCGTTGGCTTCACTGGGGGGGAAATGGCGCACCAGCGTTGGCGTCACTGGGGGGGAAATGGCGCACCAGCGTTGGCGTCACTGGGGGGGAAATGGCGCACAGCAGCGTTGGCGTCACTGGGGGGGAAATGGCGCACCAGCGTTGGCGTCACTGGAGGGGGGGGGAAATGGCGCACCAGCGTTGGCGTCACTGGGGGGGAAATGGCGCACCAGCGTTGGCGTCACTGGGGGGGAAATGGCGCACCAGCGTTGGCGTCACTGGGGGGGAAATGGCGCACCAGCGTTGGCGTCACTGGGGGGGAAATGGCGCACCACGTTGGGTCGTCACGTTGGCGGGGGGGAAATGGCGCACCAGCGTCACTGGGGGGGAAATGGCGCACCAGCGTTGGCGTCACTGGGGGGGAAATGGCGCACCAGCGTTGGCGTCACTGGGGGGGAAATGGCGCACCAGCGTTGGCGTCACTGGGGGGGAAATGGCGCACCAGCGTTGGCGTCACTGGGGGGGGCGCACAGCAGCGTTGGCGTCATGGGGGGAAATGGCGCACCAGCGTTGGCGTCACTGGGGGGGAAATGGCGCACCAGCGTTGGCGTCACTGGGGGGGAAATGGCGCACCACGTTGGCGTCACATGGGGGGGAAATGGCGCACCAGCGTTGGCGTCACTGGGGGGGGAAATGGCGCACCAGCGTTGGCGCACCAGCGTTGGCGTCACTGGGGGGGAAATGGCGCACCAGCGTTGGCGTCACTGGGGGGGAAATGGCGCACCAGCGTTGGCGTCACTGGGGGGGAAATGGCGCACCAGCGTTGGCGTCACTGGGGGGGAAATGGCGCACCAGCGTTGGCGTCACTGGGGGGGAAATGGCGCACCAGCGTTGGCGTCACTGGGGGGGAAATGGCGCACCAGCGTTGGCGTCACTGGGGGGGGAAATGGCGCACCAGCGTTGGCGTCACTGGGGGGGAAATGGCGCACCAGCGTTGGCGTCACTGGGGGGGAAATGGCGCACCAGCGTTGGCGTCGAAATGGCGCACCACTGGGGGGGAAATGGCGCACCAGCGTTGGCGTGGCGTCGTGGGGGGGGGGAAATGGCGCACCAGCGTTGGCGTCACTGGGGGGGAAATGGCGCACCAGCGTTGGCGTCACTGGGGGGGAAATGGCGCACCAGCGTTGGCGTCACTGGGGGGGGTGAAATGGCGCACCAGCGTTGGCGTCACTGGGGGGGAAATGGCGCACCAGCGTTGGCGTCACTGGGGGGGAAACTGGCGCACCAGCGTTGGCGTCACTGGGGGGAAATGGCGCACCAGCGTTGGCGTCACTGGGGGGAAATGGCGCACCAGCGTTGGCGTCACTGGGGGGGAAATGGAGCACCATCGTTGGCGTCACTGGCGTCACTGGGGGGAAATGGAGACCCATCCTTGGCGTCACTGGGGAAAATGGGGGGGGAGCGCCCATCCTTGGCGTCACTGGGGGGGGAAAGCTTGGCGTCACTGGGGGGAAATGGAGCCCCATCCTGGCGTCACTGGGGGGAAATGGAGCCCCATCCTTGGCGGGGGGAAATGGAGCCCCATCCTTGGCGTTGGGCGAGCCCCACTGGGGGGAAATGGAGCCCCATCCTTGGCGTCATGGGGGGAAATGGAGCCCCCATCCTTGGCGTCACTGGGGGGAAATGGAGGTCACTGGGGGGAAATGGAGCCCCATCCTTGGCGTTGGCGTCACTGGGGGAAATGGAATCCTTGGCGCACTGGGGGAAATGGAGCCCATCCTTGGCGTCACTGGGGGGAAATGGAGCCCCATCCTTGGCGTCACTGGGGGGAAAAATGGAGCCCCATCCTTGGCGTCACTGGGGGGAAATGGAGCCCCATCCTTGGCGTCACTGGGGGGAAATGGCGTCATGGCGCCCCTTGGCGTCACTGGGGGGGAAATGGCGCCCCATCCTTGGCGTCACTGGGGGGAAATGGCGCCCCATCCTTGGCGTCACTGGGGGGAAATGGCGCCCCATCCTTGGCGTCACTGGGGGGAAATGGCGCCCCATCCTTGGCGTCACTGGGGGGAAATGGCGCCCCATCCTTGGCGCGCCCCATCCTTGGCGTCACTGGGGGGGGAAATGGCGCCCCATCCTTGGGTCACTGGGGGGGGGGGCCCATCCTTGGAAATGGCGCCCCATCCTTGGCGTCACTGGGGGAATAGCATCTTGTATCAGTGGGAGGAATAGTTCCCCAAGGGCCAGATAAAGGCAAGCAAAGGGCCACATTCGCCCCCAGGGCTGCAGTTTGGAGACCATACAAGGTTTAAAATATTCCCAAGTTTGCCCTATAAACTCAGACCTCCTGAATCAGAAAATCCTGGTAGTGCGTCCCTCTCTAAATTCTTTGCATATGAGCCCCGAGTTTGCAGAATGTACATGTGCAATTTCCTGTTCAGAAATGCAGGTTTACTATCTGTATGATATCAAATGAACGCAGCATGAAATTTCCTCCCTTTATCCAAATGACTTAAGTACTGTCTGGAGTTGGATGGGGAAAGGTTTCAGCCAATGAAAGCCTCAGTCTTACTTACCACTGATCTGTCACTCAAATCCAGAGCATCCCAGGTGAAACCCTGTGGCAGGCTGTATGGCTCCTGACGGATATTATCCTTGTCTGGCTCAATAGGGCCATGTGTATTGACCACTTCACCTATAAGAAGTACATCAGGCTATCAGACAAAATAATCGTTCTCATTTGGAATAAGATCATTCATGCATCAATGTTTTTAAAACACCTGTATACAGTTTGGAATAAACAGCTGTATAATACTAAGCTGTAAACACACAGGTCTGGGAGGAACATTTGGCCCAAGACAAAAAAAAAAAAAAGAAAAAAAAAAAAAAAAAAAGGGGGGGGGGGGGGGGGGGAATAATTTACATGGCTTCATTCACTATCCTAAAAAAAGGAATAAGACCATTTTTGGGATTTTTGATGGGAGCAAAAGGCATACAGATAGCTTGAAGGCTCTATTGTGATTTGCACTGTTTTAATAAAGGGCTTTTTGGTTTCTTTCAGCCCAGCTCACCACAACTTGCCCGGTTATTTATTTATTTCAGGTACTTGTATATCGCCATCAATTTACACAGCACTTTACATATATATTGTACATTCACATCAGTCCCTAACCCTCAAGGGGTGTACAATCTAAGGTCCCTAACTCACATTTATACATACACATACTAGGGACAATTTAGACAGGATCCAATTAACCTACCAGCATGTCTTTGGAGTGTGAGAGGAAACCGGAGTACCCAGAGGAAACCCACGCAGGCACAGGGAGAACATGCAAACTCCAGGCAGGAGGTACCATAGCTGGGATTCGAACAAACGACCCTAGTACTGCCAGGCAGAAGTGCTAACCACTTAGCCACTGTGCTGCCCATGATCTTTTAAAAGTATGTGTTAGACAGCTCTGGATCAGATTTTAGCAATCGCCTTCTTGGTGCATATAAAGACAAATTGGATTCGGATTAAATTGAAGCAGATTGTATTCTATTCTACCTTTAGCCCCAACCCCCCCCCCCCCCCCCCTCCCAAAAAAACAAAAAAAAAAAAAAAAAACAACCTTTACAAGCAAGGATCACACTATCCCCAGTTACCTGGATTACATGAAATGTGGCTCCTACCTAACTTAGGAACAGGCTGCGTGTCCCAGAACTGGTAGCTTCTCTTGCTGGCCTCTTCCATGGTCTTAGCGGACCCTTGACCCACAGAAAACAGCTCAATGGCCTTCTGGATCTCTTGGATCTTCTCAGCAGGTAGAGTGTTCACCTAAACGAAAGAGGTCAAGCAGAAGGTATCAAATATATATTTCTATAAGCCGTAATCCCATGAGGAAGAAATTGCAGTTTATATTAAAGTGTTACTAAACCCAGGACCCTGCATTCACTCTATCTCTCCCCGGACCCTGCATTCACTCTCGCCCGGTCTCCCCGGACCCTGCATTCACTCTATCTGGTCTCCCCGGACCCTGCATTCACTATATCCTGGTCTCCCACAGTACCCAGATCATGGAAATGCAATTATTTTAGTAAACAAACTGCTAAATACCTTTTCTCGTCAGCAGTTAGAGCAGTCTTGTGACTTCAGCAGAGCACTGGTTAAAACTTGTAGGAGGAGTTTTCTTTCTGCTATAGGAGGATGCAGAACCCCTGACCCCTGTGTGGACAGTGCTGATTGGCCCTGTGCTGATCACATGCACTCTCCAATGGAAAAAAAAAAAATCTCTAGCAATACACACTAAAAACTGAGCATTTGCATGTGACTACGGGTTCAGTCTGTCTCATCAGGTGGACATTTGAACAAGAGGAGTGGCAGAGAAGACAGGATCAAACAGCCTTTTTACACAATGCGGAGGATTAACCCCTTAGGTTCCACAGTGAGTATAACAAGCATGCTTTACTGCATATACAGACTGATTGTACTGTTGTGGGTTTAGTAACACTTTAACATTTATATTTTGCATTTTTGAGTTTAATAAATAATAGTTTATAAACAAAAATATTTTCTCAAGTATGCAGTTTATCATAAAATTAAAGTTTACAGTTCTGAATGATCAATCGCCATAGGCTCAATGCACAATGCTTTAAGACAGAGGTGTCAACCTGTGGCCCTCCAGCTGTTGCGGAACTACAAGTCCCATCATGCCTCTGCCTTTGGGAGTCATGTTTGTAACTGTCAATCTTGCAATGCCTCATGGGACTTGTAGTTTGGCAACAGCTGGAGGGCCGCCAGTTTGACACTCCTGCTTTAAGATAAGGCTCTTCAATATAGCCACGTGACTAATTTTGAAATCTCATTGGATTGAAAATAGCTGTCTTTTTTTTTTTTTTTTTTTTTTAAATAAGCACACTTATCTGGGTGTTGTAGCTTTGGGTTTCCAGTGAAGTGTTTTGTTAATGCTACGACAAACAATCAAATTGTAAATGACTGTGTGGCCCTTTTCATAGCAGTAACCCCGTGCACGAAAGACCGACTGTGATCAGTCTGTATGCAGGAAATCAAATGATCTGCACAGAACACTGAGCCCAACCTATTAAACAGTGTAGGGATGAACTGAAATCCAACATGGGCAGAGATTCTTAGGCCTGGTTCACACTGGCGTGCTTTTACAAGGTAACAAAAGCACATGAAAATTATTCCCCATTAAAGTCTATGTAACTGTTCACACTCGTGTGCTGCGCTGGGAAAAGTCCTGCATGCTCTATTGACTTACAATGAAAGGTGCCTTTTTGGTGCAGTTTTTCCAAAAGCGCAGCAAAAAGGCACCTTCCATTTTAAGTCATTGGAAGCGCATCAGTGTGAAAGGGCTCACCATGTACACTGTCATGTCACTATATAAACCCTTCAAACAGGCCCTCTTTGGAGCTGAAGAATCTGGAATGGTTACCGGAGCCTCAGTGGTTTTCCAGCTTGTCCCCTCCTTTGTCTTTCTTGCGTTTCTGCTTCTTCTTTTTCTTAACTCCAGTGTTGTCAACCTCTCTGAAATAGAAGGAAGCAAATTACTAAAAAAAAAGTCACAGCAAAAAGTCGAATTCATTACATGTATCAGCGTAGCACAAGGCTCTGATTAGTTACCAAAGTAAGGCCAAGTTTCACCTCTTAAATACATTTTACCATGCAGTCAATGGGCCCCACAGTAGATGGAAATACACCGTGCAGGCTGGAAAACGTTTGCTGCATGTAATCGCCATCCCTAAAGATCTTTTGCGGTACCCTGAAGCCTGGCCAAGAAACTCTATATTCTGAACGTTCCTCCATCCTGCCTAGTTGCCAGGATACTCCATATGTTGAGTACTAACCTTCCGCATTATAGGGGCGAGCACGCTCCTACAGTCATATGCCGTGCGCATGTTCTCTACCCATGTAGTAGCCAGGGGTGGACTGACCATTTGGAAACTCGGGCACTGCCGGAGGTCAGTAGGGGGTCCCATGAGATGCCCCTGGTACCTTTTTCATAGGCTTTTTTTGAGTTTGGGCAAGGACACAGGGGCCCCATGATCCACTATTGCCCTGGGCCCCAGGAGTTGTCAGTCCGCCCCTGGTAGTAGCATTGCTGCAACAGGATAGACAGAGTACAGTGCATACACAATTTATGAATGAAGGAGAGCACTCAGACCGAGGAACACTCATAATATTGGAGTTTTTGGCCAGGCATTGGGGGTACCTCATAAGACCCATAGGAATGAGGCTCCTGAACGCATGTTCGGTTTTCTTTGAAAGGTGACCTTAGACCTTAATTTATTTGTTCAGCACATAGAATGAAGGATGAATAATAATTATACTACCATAAGAAGGGACAGCCTGCCTCTAAGGCTGATAATCCACAGGTAATCGTTGTATGATCGACGTATGAGCAGCCACAAATAGCTGCAGGTGCTGTCAGGCTCCTATTGCTTTGAGGGCTTTTTGCACGCTACAGCTTGAAAAACCTCAGTACAGAGGTAGAATGTAGGCCACTATTTACAATGTGCCTTTGCACGCAGGTGCGTAAATAGGTGTCATGTATTCTTCAGGGGTAAAAAAATAAATAAATATAGATTACAAAAAATATATATATATATATATATATATATATATATATATATATATATACACACACACACATATATACAGTGGAGCAAAAAAGTATTTAGTCAGCCACCAATTGTGCAAGTTCTCCCACTTAAAAAGATGAGAGAGGCCTGTAATTGGCATCATAGGTAGACCTCAACTATGAGAGACAAAATGAGAACAAAAATCCAGACAATCACATTGGCTGATTTGGAAAGAATTTATTTGCAAATTATGGTGGAAAATAAGTATTTGGTCACCTACAAACAAGCAAGATTTCTGGCTCTCACAGACTTGTACCTTCTTCTTTAAGAGGCTCCTCTGTCCTGAACTCATTACCACCTGTTTGATCTTGTTATCAGTATAAAAGACACCTGTCCACAACCTCCAACAGTCACACTCCAAACTCCACTATGGTGAAGACCAAAGAGCTGTCAAAGGACACCAGGACACCTGCTCCAGGCTAGGAAGACTGAATCTGCAATAGGCAAGCAGCTTGGTGTGAACAAATCAACTGTGGGAGCAATAATTAGAAAATTTAAGACATACAAGACCACTGATAATCTCCCTCGATCTGGGGCTCCACGCAAGATCTCACCCCGTGGGGTCAAAATGCTCACAAGAACGGTGAGCAAAAATCCCAGGACCACACGGGGGGGACCTGCAGAGAGCTGGGGCCAACGTAACAATGGCTACCATCAGTAACACACTATGCTACACTACCAAATAGAACTGTTTGGTGGGAACACAACTCATCGTGTTTGGAGGAGAGAATGCCGAGTTGCATCTAAAGAACACCATATCTACTGTGAAGCATGGGGGTGGCAACATCATGCTTTGGGGCTGTTTCTCCGCAAAGGGACCAGGACGACTGATCCATGTACAGGACAGAATGAATGGGGCCATGTATCGTGAGATTTGAGTGCAAACTGCCATCAGCAAGGGCATTGAAGATGAAACGTGGCCGGGTCTTCCAACATGACAATGATCCCAAACATACCGCCCGGGCAACGAAGGAGTGGCTTCGAAAGAAGCATTTCAAGGTCCTGGAGCCTAGCCAGTCTCCAGATCTCAACCCCATAGAAAACCTTTGGAGGGAGTTGAAAGTCCGTGTTGCCCAGCGACAGCCCCAAAACATCACTGCTCTAGAGGAGATCTGCATGGAGGATGGGCCCATACCAGCAACAGTGTGTGCCAACCTTGTGAACACTTACAGGAAACGTTTGACCTCTGTCATTGCCAACAAAGGATATATAACAAAGTATTGAGATGAACTTTTCATATTGACCAAATACTTATTTTTCCACCATAATTTGCAAATAAATTCTTTCCAAATCAGCCAATGTGATTGTCTGGATTTTTTTTCTCATTTTGTCTCTTATAGTTGAGGTCTACCTATGATGCCAATTACAGGCCTCTCTCATCTTTTTAAATGGGAGAACTTGTACAATTGGTGGCTGACTAAATACTTTTTTGCCCCACTGTATACACACACACATATATATATATATATTATCTATATACACACGCACATACATACATACTTTTGGTCAGTAATTTACGTGGCCTGTGCGTAAATACGAGAATTTAAATAAATATATTGTGTGCGCAAATGGGCGAACACGTATGTGCGCGCAAATATGCTCACACGCGCGCATATATATGTATGAATACGTGCAAAAGAAATGCCTGAAATCATAAAAAAAAAAAAAAAAAAAAAAGAAAAGCAGATGCTCAAACATCAGTACCGTGTGCGAGAGGCCTACCAGGGTTTCCGGTCCGCAGTTAAATCGCAAGGAACCCTGTGAATTGATGTAAGGGAAAGACGGCTATAGATAAATGGATACAACTGATGTAGGATGATTTGTTTCATCTCTGGAAGCAAGTATCTGTTTCTGACAGGTACTTGCTCCCAATTCCCCAGGTCTCACTTAGGCAAATGTGACACGTTTCAGGAGGCTGCGGAAAAGCACTGGGAAGTCAACTGTCAACCAGCAGGAAGTCACAGCCAGCTCCCACATCCAAGATGGTGGTGCCGAGGATCTATTTTAGTAAATATAAACTGCTAAATACCTTTTCTCATCAGCAGTTAGAGCATCTTGTGACTTCTATCAGTGTCCAGCACAGCACTGGTTATAGCTTGTAGGAGGAGTTTTCATTCTCCTCTGATTGTCCTATGAGGCTGCAGGACCCCTGGCCCTCTGTCTAGACCAGGGGTGTCAAACTGGCAGCCCTCCAGCTGTTGCGAAACTACAAATCCCATCATGCCTCTGCCTTTGGGAGTCCTGCTTGTAACTGTCAATCTTGCAATGCCTCATGGGACTTGTAGTTTGGTAACAGCTGGAGGGCCACCAGTTTGACACCCGTGGTCTAGAGCCTGGTGAAGACAGCAGTGGACTCCAGGGCAGGTAAGTGTCTTTTTGTTAAAAGTCAGCAGCTACAGTATTTGTAGCCCCGGACCTAATTTTTTATTAAGGGCTCATGTACACTGCAGCTGATAAACTGACATTCAGGAGCTGTTCAGCATATTTTTCAGCAGCCCCTGAACTCTCCCTAATGTTTTCCTATGTGTCCATGTACACATCGTCGTTTACAGGCAGTTGCGTTTACAGTCGTTTTTTTTTTTGAACATTCCAAACTTGTGTTCAGGGGTAGATTTTACCGGCGTTTCAAACGCCAAACGCATGTAAACGCGGTTAACCGCGTTTAGAAGCGTTTTTAACTGTTCCATGTCCAGAGCCTTTTTTTTAATCATCAGAAATGCATTCAAAGCATTTTCTATGTATTCAAATGGACCCGGTACACCAGCGCAGTCAGTTCCAGGCTTCGCATGAAGGAAAAAAAAAAAAATGGTAGAACGTGCCGCATTATGCTCACGATGGGATCCATAGTGAATACAACCAGAAAAGACAGGTCATCTCAACACATACTGCTCTCTCTGCTTCTGCTCTCTCTATTCCTCTCAAAATGTCTGAAATAGTTAATTATTTACAGTTTTTCAGTGCATTCGGGAGGATCTTTTAAAAATGCTTCTAAACAAAACGCACATAAACGCGGTATGCAAACGCGGCTAAACTGCCGTTTTTTAACCTACGTTTTCCAGCAGTCAGTTTCCATCGTTCAGAAGAGTTTTCCAAACGCCCCGTGTACATGAGCCCTAAAAGAGGAACTGAAGTCCCTCTTTAATCAGTGAGTGTGCAGCTTTCCCAGCAAGACATAAAACCACAACAGCTCATCGGTCAGAGACTAAAGATTTGCAATTCACGGTGTTGACACCGGCAAGAGAAATAAAAGCCGTCCCTGCAAACCTGGCCGATGCAAGAATTGCGCACGCACGGAGAAAACATACCTGCTAATCCTATTACAGCCCCTGAGTCGGCCATGTGGAACGGAGTCCTATTTAAACCCCTCATTCATGTGACATATGCACAGCGAGATGGTGCCAGAGACACAGGACACGGTCAGCTGTCTGGCTGATGGCCACGTGTCCCCAGAGAGGATGGGGCCTGACCCAAAAATGGTTAATTCATCTACTCTGGAAAAAATATGGATGAGCCAGGGGTGGAGAACATACCGCGGAATTCAAGGGCCAATTATTTATATATAGGAGCCAGCGTGGTGTATATGTACCAACAGCCACTGTAAGAGAATGCAGCTGAAATGCAAAAAAAAAGAACTCCCAAAGTATTTGGAATTCTGTTCAGCCAGCCTTGTGATCCAGACCCTTGCCCTGCCATAGAGTACAGGCCTGCTAGTTACCTTTTCTACAATTAAGCAACATTACTTGACCCTCCACAGGCTGCTAATTGGGTAATGAAGGAGCATACAGAGACTGATGAGGCCATACCCTGTGCAATGCAATAGTCTGATTAGCTCAGAGTGCTGGCCTTCCCTCTCCTAGTCTTATACTAATCCGGCTCTGCAGGGGA